AATTTAAACAAAAAGTTTAACATCCTCAGTCAATATACCTAAACTCTGAGTACGTACAAGGAACAATACTTCTGAGTAGAGTGAGGGATTTTTTGCATTCCTAAAAGCATACAGCCACCATGAGGCACATTCCCAACAACTTCAAATAGATATTACTGGGAATTTTTAGGAAAATAACCATTTTGCATGCACATTTGTTTGCAGAATTTATCTCCTTGTAGATAAAGTATTTAGGTGTGGAAATTTCTAAATTTTTCTTAGATAAAATTTGATCAGATATTTCCTACTAATAGCAATGTGCTGTATATAGATTCTTGCATTTTTCTTTTATTATTTTTTCCCAAAATATTGGAAATAGTAATTTCCAAACAGATCTTGAAAGGCTGTATTATCATCAGCTGCCATTGGCCACCATGCCATAGATGGCTTAAATGGTTTTCATACTAGAACTTAAAAATTGTTCTGTTATTCATCTTAACTATTCTTAGTTAGCATATAACATATATGTGAAAAGCAGTTACAATATGTCTTACACAGGAAAACCATAAAGGATTTATGTTATTAACTAACTGCAGGGATGAATGCTGGATTACCTGACTGGCGTTTAGGACCCAGACCTGAGCACGTGGGAGTCTGGGTGTAGGGAGAGTTGTGAATTATGTATGTTTGAATATTATGAATGTATGTGAATTATAATGGGTGGAACCAAGCACAACCAAGTCACTTTGGAGCTCATGTTCCTTTTTAATCTCACCAATTTCAAAACCATACTTTTCATTCCCCAGGAGCATGCATCTGTGTATAAAAAGACAATCTAGACAGTTTAGTATTTTGCATATGCCCTGCATTATTTTGCATGTTTGTGCCATGAAAATGCTCAGTCAAGGTGTGAAGCTGCTTGCAAAAGTCTGTTTTGGGGGAGAGGAAAGTGCAACTGTATAGTTTCAAGCCAAATCATACCATACCTTGTGCCTACAAAGCCAGGTAATAGCCCCTGACTAATTTTTATTTGTAAGCTCTGACATGGGCTGAAGGAATAAGAAGCTGCTGAAAGCTAAACATTTAGGTTATTAAATACACATGGAATTTTACCTGTGAATGCCATCTTTGCAGAGGTAACTGCCTCAGGACTGTAGGTTAGCGCCTACATTGCAGAGGGAGGTGTGGCTCTTGTCTTCATCCTTGGGTTTCCCTGGAGCCTAATCAACAAGAAGACTCATCTGAGGTGCCATACTCTCCCGCTTCACTGCATGGGGCTCTAAAAACTTGACCGGTGTGGTGAATTTGCCCTCTGGGACTAGCAGTTCAGATCTGCAGCATCGAGTATGATGACATGTAAAATCCTTTTGGCTGAATCTAAAATGGTGGGCTCAGGGGAGTTTCTGAGCTTCTGCTTTCAACTAGACTTGGTTCTTGTTATCCCCTTCTTCCCCCTCTTCCTTTCAGCCTTCCCGCCCTATTCGCCTTTTTCTTTCTGCATGAAGAAGGCTTGGGGATTAGGCTGGAAGGTGCCACGTGTCCAGCTGGGGCTCTGGCTAAGGTGCCTCAGCAAGTATTGATACCTGGCATGTGCTGTAGCTCTGCTTAAACTCTGCCTTTCCCAGCAGTGTCGAATCTCGCAGTCCATACCTCAGTCTTTTCCCTTCCTAGTCTCAAGCTCAGTTTATAAAGAAAGACAATAAAAATTTATCTTGCTTGAAATGTGAAGCACAATTGCTTGGTTTAAACTTCTCAGGCAGCCTGAGACTTTTTTATCAATCAGCTCAGTGTTGAACAGTAATTACTACATGCACTTGCTTATTTTATTGGGCTTATTATCCAGTAGGACCTTAACAGAGTGGTACTTATACCAGATAAATCAAGAAGTAAAAAGGTTTGTTTTGAACACAAGAGGTGATTCATATGACAGATGCTGGTTCATTTGAAGGTAACTGTGACTTGGTATTACTCTGTGTGTGTGTGTGAAGATTCCTGCCAAAACTCTGAATATCTAGCATTTCTGAATAGCAAGTTATATCTGAAAAACAGATCCAACTGTGGTTATGGTCAGAAAAGGGAATATAAAAATAGCAGTTTCTATGTATTTGGTCATGTCTGCTTACTTTTCCAACCAAAATAAAGTTTTTCAAACTTTTTTACTCATGTAGGCAGTCCAGAGCAAATATATCCTTGGTGAAGTGTGCAGTAACTTTTCTTTTTAGATATCTTCTACAGAAATGTTATGCTACTTTCCTAATACAGAGCTACACTGATTTGAAAGTCAGGTTATCAGGGCAAGTTTGCAAAGCTGCCAAAAAAAAAAAGAAAGAAAAAAAAAAAAAGAAAACCAAAACCCCCACTCTCAGCTAAGCCCCAGAAACAGAAAGAGATTATTAGGTCAGAAAACATGCCCTCAAAAGGTCAGAAAACATAATATTCTTGCATAAAACCTACAACATTTGATTATCATATTTAGACCTTCAGTTTCTCTATGTGCAGAATGAAACTTAACATGGATTTCTTTTCAAAAACTTAGGGATGAAATGCAATTTTTGCAGCCTTCCTTCATATTGAAATTCATTTGAAGGTAAAATTTGATTGAATTGAACTAAAATATTATGCTTCAGTTGTAACATCCATGGGACAAGAAGACACAGAAAAAGGATCATACTACATTTCGCAGTATATGATGCGGGACCAAAAAGCATTTTCATTTCCCAGATCCAGATGGAAACCTTTGTCTTGACTGTCTACAAATAGAGCATCTGAATATAGCATCTATAGGATCTTTCTCTTTCTAATCTCCCTTCTGTCCCTGGCCCTCCACTCCATGTGCCCGAGTGTCCACTGAGGGGAGATACATAGGACTTATGTAAAAGGCAGAGGTGTCCTCCAGCAGGTCCCCAAAATTGGACAAATGGACAACCAGGACTATGGAGTTGCACCTGCCCAGCATAATATATGCAGCCAAAGAAGCTTATGTCCATGACTTAAGCTCTCAAGCAGAGCTGCAGATACATCAAGAATAATACACAGGACTATGTATTAATAATGGGAATCCATATAGCAAAATATTTTCTCCTTCAGGGAGCACCCTAGCCCTCAAGAGACACAGCAGAAACCTTCCTAAAATTCAGGAGAAATCTGACTACATGCCAAACACTCCCCTCAGGGAAGTCAGTGGCAAAAAATATCTACTTGTCTTCAATGGCGCACGATTTTGTGCTTTATACAAAAAAAGGTCACTCATCACATGCATGGACAACAAGTCAAATACATCTGGTTAACAGAATGTGGCTATTCTGGGCTCAGCATGGTGCTATGTTTATTTTTGTTGCTTATTGTTTATATTTATGTCTATCTTTAAGCACAGGGAGAAAAACAGAAAACAAAAACTAAGTGAGACATCCATGTTCTATCAGTTGCAGTGGACAAGGATTTCGCACAAGGTCATTGGCCAGTGGAATACATTTTCTCTGTTCTCAGATTGTGCATCTCTAAGGAACTCCTGTAAATTAACTTTTATTCTTGGGAGATAAACAAGGACAGAAAAAAAAAAAAAAAACAAACCCTAGAAATAATTTTCATTCTGCAGATTTCAGAAAGTATTTTTTTTCTCACATAAATGTGTTTTTCCTGTAACGCCAAATGTTCAAAATATTTTCTTCACAGACTCTCTCTCAACTCCTTTCTGTTCCCTTTCTTTCACTTACCAAGGCAGTAATTCCCAAATGGACATTTTATGTTTTGCCACTGGGCATAAACTGGGTGGAAAAAAAAAATGTTTTGGGAATATAGGAAAAAATTGAATAAAAGTTAACAATGAACATTTGTGGCTTGGGAAACAACCCATTTTTAAGAAAAGCTGTTTCACTCAAAGGTGTTTATCAGCAGCATGGATAGTAAGTCTGGGGCAAAGGAGTCTGGGCTGGAGAAGGAGACCTGTTTTCTGACTCACAAGGCATGGGGCCACATGCAGGTCTCTGGTTTATTTATGGAAAATGGAGGGAAACTGTTTCCTGTGTTGTCACACATTTGTGCTATAGATGGTAGGTGGGTGCATGGGAGAAAGGAACGGTTTAAATTAAGGCAGAACTTTTCCTGAAGTGTTTATTTTTGAACACTCGTGTGTCACGAAGGCCGGTCTCATGACTTTAAACAAAAGCCAATGCCATTGCTTCCATGAGGTTAAAATGAAGTGCAATAGAAGAATTACAACCACTTTGCCTGTGACAGAAGGAAGGTCAGGCCTTGCTTTGGACTGAGGCTTGTCTCCATGCAGCGACGCCTGCCAGCTGATACTTGACCTTTAGATTCCCCAGAGTTGCCACAATTTTGGGGAAGTGGCATTTGTCAGATGGCCAAAGAGGGTGATGGAAAGGCCAGGCTGGTGGCCAGGGGCAGCCACGGGCAGGTTGGAGGAAAGGTGTTTTGGCCTTGCTTTGTCCCTGGCCATGGGGTGGGGGAGCCCTGCTGAAATGGCTATGGATGAGGGTGCTGCCTGGGGATGGGGCTGAGAGGCAGGTGGAGAAAGGGGGAGGTTGTGAAGGGAAATGTCTGCAGGGAGGGAGAGGTTTGTTCTGGCTGCAGGTAAGAGGGCAAATGGAGCTATGGGGGCAAGAGGGGCAGGGGGGAGGCCCCGGGGGGCTGCGCAGCAGCAGACATCAGCCCCGGGGCAAGAGCTGGGGGGCCCGGCTGCTCCTTCTGAGCCCCTAAGGAAAGGAGGGAGGGAAGGACGGAGGGAGGGATGAGGCGGTGGGAGCCCTCTCCCTGGGCTGGCTGTGGGGCGGGAGGGGAGGCAGCTCCTGGGGAGGGGAGGAGGAGAGGAGGCAGAGGGGATGTTGTTAAACAGTTTCTTACCGTAAGAGGGAGTTGGGACCCAGATCTTTCCAGTTAATCACACAACAAACTTAGATCATCGCAATAAAAAGCAGCTCGGCTCACTCTGCCTCCTCTAGTGACCGGCTGTGCACAGGGTCCTTCCGAGGAGCCATCTCCTCTTCTCCTCCCCGCCAGCCGCCGGGGGGGCCGCCAGCACCATGTGGGCCACCCAACTCCTGCCAGCCTTGCTGCTCCATCAGCTGCTGCTGCTGCCCATCACCATCCCTGCGGCAGGTTAGTTTTTCTATCACTTCGCTAGTGACCCCCCTCCACCTCACAGCTGCATCATTTTCCCTCTCCTTCGCTTCGCCGTGGCGAGGGTGGGTGCTCGGGGCGGTGCACCGGGCGC